ATTATGAAGGGAAAGCCTTGTTTTATAAACAGGGAAGCCAAAGCTTTCATAGATAAGGGAAAAAGGAACATTGACTCACCTGCCCAAAGTCACTCAGCAAGTCAATACTAGAGCCCAATGCACTCGCCAGCATTTCCTAGAATTTTCATAAGATTTCAGAATAGAAACAGTTCTTAAAATCATCTAGTTAATTCTTCTCGTATGAATCACTTGGGGATCTTGGTAAATGCAGATTCTAATCCAATAAGCCTGGGTGGGACCTGAGAGCCTGCATTTCTAACAAGCTCCAGGTGACGTCGATGCTGCTGGCCCTTTGAGTGACAGGGAACTAGTCCTTCCATAAATTTACAGGTGAGGAAAGCAAGGTCCAAATCCAGCAACTTGGCCAAGGTCACACCTTGATTAGAGGAACAGGGAAAACAAGGACCTTGGATCCCAGATGTCCAGCCCAGAGCTCTTTCTGATATTGCACGGGGCTTTATTTACGCGTTTCCCTATCCAGTGTCAGTAGCGTGGATCAATCCCTATGCCCTTATGCAAAACAGCAACTGTGAAGCAGAAATGGACACTTTATTTCTGGAAGTTTTTAACTTTTTTTTTTATATGAAACAAATTTAAATAGGAATCTTCCTCAGAGAGGTCAACCCTGGCCACCCTATCTGAAACAGTGCCCCCCCGCCCCCGCCAAAAGTGGTCATTTTCTATCCTTTTAAATAGCACTTATCATCACCTGATATTGTATACGTGCTTAATGTCTGTCTAGAACGTAAGATCCATGAAGGCAGCGACCTCTGTCCATCGCATTCTCTGCAGTATCTTTAGCACTTAGAAGAGTGTCTGCCACATGGTAGGCTCTCAATATATATTTTTAAATGAATGAGTGAATAAACAAATCCATTGTGTTTTTTATATTCAACTAGGACATCAGTCCAGAGCAATACTGGAAGATTTTATTTTTGTATTTAAAGTAACAGTTTTCTCCCTGGCAAGAAACTATGTAATGCTTCCCAGAATGATTAATCTCGACAGGAAATAGTTTTAATAGGTAAGAGTGATCACTGTTAATAGATTATTTTAAAGATATGACATGAATTATCTATTGGCAGAAATTAATTTTCTAAGGGTAATGTCTTTAAATAAAGTGCTTCTTCTGGGCATGAAATACTGGCAGTGGGCTTATTGCTAGAGAGTGCCTTTAAATTATGGAAAAGTGTTACGCCATGGTAGGTTAATTACTTATCCCTCGGTGGAACAATAAGGAATATCCATGGAGTTAAAGTCTCATACAAATTGCTACATTGCCCTGTTTAGAAAAGGAAGATATTCCAAAGAATTGTATTTTCTCCCTGGTTTTCTGTTTCCTGAAGAACTCCACTGAAGGGGCTTGACCTTTCCAAAATAAAGATGAGTCAGTGCCAAGAGTCCAGGAATGACCAGGCAGAACCTGAGACTCACGGAGGTGAAGTGACTTGTCCAAGGCCAAGCTGTAAGAGTATCTGGCTCCAGGACACACTCTTAACCATTCTACTACACCCTACAGTGGGAATTTACAGCAGGTCGGAGTAGCAGCACAGAAAAGATGAATGCCTCAATCCTTCCCTTTGGAGAGAAACCGTAAGACAGTCATGGCCATTATAAGAGACACTGGATGGAAGTGGTTAAGTGTGCAGTTATAGGGTCAGGTTGCAGGGTTCAGTCCCTACACTGCCACTTCCTAGTGGTGATCTTGGGCAAGTTATTCATACCTTTTGTGTTTGGGGCTTTTGGGTGGGGGTTAAATGAGTTAAAACATGCAGAACACTTAGAATAGGGCCTGGCACTCAAGTACTCAATAAACATTGGTAATATTACTTTTCAATCAAAACCCTCTTCAAGCTGAACACCATGAATGGTCTTCAGATAGAAGGTAATCATCCAGCATTTAACACCCTTTCATGTTAGGTCAAAAGGGTCATAAATTTGAGATCCCAAGAAAGGCAAA